CGTGGCTCTATCTGTGCCTTGCAGTGGACAAGTACATGCTTGCACCAGTAGGGGAGGGCAAACTGGGTCACCACCCAGGGCCCCACATTTTAGGGGCCCCAGAATTTTGCAACCATTTTTGGGGGGTTGAAGTTATTAAAAACATTCTTTTTTTCAATTTATGAATAAGTTTCATCATAGTTTCATAGTAGCTAGGGTCAGGAGGGACCTGAACAGATCATCTCGCCTGACCCCCTGCCACAGGCAGGAATGAATGCTGTGGGGCCATGACCCCAGGCAGGTGATCGTCCAACCTCCTCTTGAATTTGCCCAAGGCAGGGGTGAGGACCACCTCCCTGGGATGGGGCAACGTGAAATTGAAATTGAAAATATCTGACTTGCTTCTAGGTCATCAAAATTAAGGCTCTAAGGGTCCCCATATGACTCTCTTGCCCGGGGCCCCAGCAACCCTAAGGCCACCACTGCCTGCACCCAAGTTTTGGGGTTCTCAGGGGCTGGGGGCATGATGATAGGGGATGAGGACATAGCTGTCTTTAGAAAGATAGCTTGGACTAGGGAGCTCAGGGATAAAAAGTTGCCAACAAAAGGGAAAAAAAGCAGGCAGCGGAGTTATGGTTGCCTACCAGAGTAGTCAGTTGCAGCCCTGGTAGGGGGTGAGGAGCAATGCAGTGTGGGATATCTGGAGGACCAACCACAGTCATGTCACAGAACATTTGCTCTCTGCTGCTACCATTTCAAACCAGGACTTGATTTTCCAGGTACGCTTTTGGAAAGCAGTCAGGGCTGCTCTCGATCAGCGGACCAGGCTTGTGTGCCTGCCTGCTTCAGGTTTACACTGCAAGTGTTATGTGTGTCTACGTCCCCGGAGGCTGCACGCCTAGCAGGCGCATTGGAAGGTCACAGGAGCTGTCTGCAGACTTGAGAACAACATTTTAACCTTGGCAGGAAAGCTCCCATGTCGGGGACTCATTGAGGACATTGTACCTACCCCCAAGAGTCTCCTGGACGATTTGGGGGTGAAGCAGGGCAGCGCTAGGTGTGGGTTATACAAGTCGGTGTGGGATCACAGGGACATACGTGGTAGTGGAACACCACACTGTGGTGCCCTCAAATACTTATTGCATGGAGTGAATTAGCTGAAAGCCAGCTGAGATGCTGCTAAATATCTTGCCAGTGCGGCTCCTGATTGCAGTGTAAATAGAGCCAAAACAACCAGCTTTTCCAAAGCACTCCATCCCCTGTAATCACAGTTTCCTGGGCAATACGTAACACCTCCAGACTAGTGCCTGAATTTGGGGGCTGCATATTACTTACCTTTTTTTTAAGCCAACGAACCTGGGGTCTCTCTCCCTCCCCATCTCCCTATCTTCATGCCCGGTTGTGAAACGGAGACCTCTGGGAACACTTTGATCTTGAGAACTGCACATTGCTTTTGAAAACTATATTGAATCTAAATATAGTTCAGAGGCCTGCTTTGTTTCCCATCCATTTTCAGCGGTAGCTTGTGGCCGGGTAACTGATGACTCGCTGCTCCCAATAACTCTGCGGTGGTTTTTTCCCAGAGAGGGGAGAAAATAGCATGAGATACCACCCACATATTCATGCTGGTTTCCAAGAGGAAGCCATGCCGAGGTGGCAGCACTGGCAACCTCATTAGTATTTGTTACCAACCCTTCTCGGGTTGCTATGACATCCGTCCATCAAAATCTTCCAGCTCCCGACACTGTGAAGCTCTTCAAACACCGTGGCAAGAGGAGCCACACGCAGACCGTCACTGCACCAACCTCCTCCTCTCCTCCGATTTCCATCTGCACAGCTTTGCATTCACCAGTCTGCATGAGGGACTGTCATGGGCATGGACAACCAGGAGTAGACCAGAAGTCAACCTAGCCAAATATCCCATTTCTAGCACTGGCCACCAGTTGACACTTCAGAGGATGGATCAAGAGTCCTTGCAGCAGGAAGTCCTGAGATAACCTGACCTCAAGGAAAATCTCTCCAGCCCCTCATCTGTGATATAGTTTATAG